GCTCACACCTGTAATCCCAGCACTTTGGGAGGCCGAGGCAGGCGGACCACTTGAGGTCAGGAGTTTGAGACCAGCGTGGCCAACATTGTGAAACCCTATCTCTACTAAAAATACAAAAAATTACCTGGGTGTGGTGGCATGCACCTGTAATCCCAGTTACTCAGGAGCCTGAGGCAGGAGAATCCCTTGAGCCCTGGAGGCAGAGATTGCAGTGAGCCAAGATCACTCCACTGCACTCCAGCCTGGGTGACAGAGCAAGACTCCCATCTCAAAAACAAAAAAATTCAATTCTTCAGTCACCTCAGCCACATTTTAAGTGCTCGGTAACCATGTGACTAGTAGTTACCATGCTGGACAGCACAGATTATCAAATATTTCCCTCATCCCAGAAAGTTCTATTGGACAGTAGGTATTTTGCAACTCTTTCAAGAAAGACTGCTATCATCCTACTGTTACTCAGGATGTCATCTGTCTTTATACACTCTTTCCTCCTCAAACCAATTTTACTGATATCCCATCTCCTTCCAAAAATAATTCATATGCATGAAAATGAATAGATATGATTAATGAAATAACAAAGTCATGGTCAAAAAAGAGGAAGCAAAACTTCCTATTTTGCGAGTAACAGTAGCTGTATGTGATGATCCAGTTTGGCCTTGAGCTTTCTAGAAGGCAGAGCAAGAGGGAAAATATGGTAAACTGCATAGTTCTCATTATCAGAAAGAAAAGGATAGCAATTTCTTCAGGAAGACAATTTTTCCAGGCAGTTAGTCCCAAAGCCTTTCTTTGAGGAATCTTATACAGGAGTCAAGCTTCTTCCTTGACAAGTTTTGACAGCAACTGAAATGCAGTTTCTACATGGCTACATCTCTCAAGACGTTTAACAAAAGTACAAATCAGTGAGGGCAATTCTGCAAGGGGCTAAACTAAGGTGATCCAAGTACCCTGCCTTCCAGTGGTGTAACTTGATCCCAGGAGAGTTCTGACTACCTCCTAGAGTGAATGGATATTGCCTCAATCTTACAGCTGACTGACCTTTCCATAAGTGACCCCATGTTGGAGGAAGAGCACTAATCAGAGTGGCAGGATTTCTAAGTAGTTTGATAAAGGTCGAAGGGAGGAGGAGGAGGTAATAAAAACTAACAGCTAAACAGAGATTCAGGTTCTCAGTGGATTTCCTTTAACCACCCTAGGGCACCTCTCTGTTGGCCTGAATAGCTGTAAATGGATGTCAGTGACGTAGAAGACTTCATTATCGTTATTAATTATTCTAGCCCTGGCCCTCTGTTCCCCTGAGCTCTCACCCTGGGCAAACAGCCCAGTCGAGAAGCTGTCCAGGCGAATCTCACCTGCAGCCCCAGCTTGCACAGTGATGGGGTCAGCGAGGAGCAAGCGGGGGGCCTTTTTCCAGAGTTGGTGAGGGCACCGGGCTGCAGGATAAGTTCGCGGAGAGGAGTTCTCATAGCTGGTTTTCCCTGAGAAAGAAACCAAGAAAGAGGGCTAGTGTGAGGAAGCCTGGGCTCTGCTAGCCCGCCCTTCCTCCCTCCCTAAGAAGCCCAAGAGGCGATTAGAAGAGTAGGCTCGCATTCTAGTCGCGCAGGAGCGGCAAGGCGAACAAAGACTCCACAAGCACCCAACCCCGGGCTCGACCCAACTTTCCAGGACAGTCGACACGGCCGGTGCCCCCGCGCCAGCAGCCCGGCCCAGCTCTCTCCGCCGGAGCTCTCCCGCTCACCGTCTGGGGCGAAGGCGACAGGCTAAGGCTCAGTTTTTTCACCCGCCACATCTTCAGCCAGAAGGCAGGCCGATCACGTCTCAAACCAAGTCGAGGACGCCATGTTCACCCGCCGTCTGTGTTTGAACCTGCTCTGCGCTTCCCAATTGGCTGCTTCAGGCGGGCGCGTCCGCTCGGCGCTGGGGCCCGGGGACGGGGGGCGGGGCCCGCGTTGACCACGCCCCCGGTCCTGCCAGCCAGTGGGTTGTCACGCGCTTTCCGCTGACGGAGCCCTCACCGCACACACCGACTGTAGGGCTGGATGCGGGCCCGGCCCAGGACAGGTGTTGTGTCCTCACACCGGGAAGGACCCCGCAGGTAGCTGGGGAGTCCAGGAGTCCATCCCTCCTGATTCCAGTGGACCTCCTCACATTCATGGTGTTCACATCCAAGTTGTCTCCGTGGATGGAAAGAGGAAGCCGCTCCCTAGGTCTCCCTCAGGCCCCTCCAGCCGCAGCCTTGACGGGAAAGAGCCGGCCAGGGAGTCTAGAAGCCGAAGCGGTGACAAGCTGCTTGCCTAGGCTTGGTGGGCCCGCGTACAGGACGGCCTGGGCCGTGGTTCTTGACCTGGGCTGTAATGTCTCCAGAGTTTCTGGGCTTTTCCTGGGACTTGCTCAGGCCGGCTACCAGTTTACTGGGCTTACCGCCTACATGTATTGAACGTTGAGTGTGTGCCTGGCGCTGTGCCGAATGGCGTGTAGTAGCTCATTTAATCCGCATAAGGACCTACGTAGTGAGAAATACTATAATATCCATTTGAAACAGGAAGGAGCTGAGTCAGAGAGACCGTGTGTAATTTGCTCAGCATCGCACAGGTAGTTAAATGGCAGAGCCACCCTTCCTCCCCGCCCCGCCAGCTCCTGCCTTCTGCTTGTGCACGGGAAGCCTATTGAAGGTAGGACAGCCGAAAAGTAAGTATTCAGAGTGAGCCGTTTGCGAAGGTGTGTTCCTTTGCACACTCACGGCGCCCTATTTACACTCTGCAAGTCTTAATACATTGGGGGAAAGCAGCAGTCCAAAGAGTAGGAACTATGATGTTATAAACTGCAGCGTCCTCAGGACGGGCTTCCTAGCACTGTGTTGTCCAATACATTAGCCCTAGCCATAGTGGCTTTTGAGCACCTCAAATGTGACTAGTCCCAGTGGGAATGTGCTATAAATGTAAAACACTGTACAAACTGGATTTCAAACACGTCGTATGAAAAAAAGAATGCAAAATAGCACCAGGTGCCGTGGCTCCTGCCTGTAATCCCCGCACGGAGGAGGCAGAGGCAGGGGGATCCTTTAAACCCAGGAGTTCGAGACCTGCTTAAGC